GCGCACATGCCCATACCGGAACCTCTTCTCCTGCATTTTCTGGGCAATTAAAGCTACTTTCATTTGCGCTCGTATAGTGTCATTGCAGATGTGATCCTTCAGTGTGACTCTTGAAGTTTATCGTAGCATCCTTGTTTCCATGACGCCAAGCTTGCGCTCTTCGTTCCGCGTACATGGCCAGCACTCACTGCCATACAGTGCAGCTGGGCGGACAACGGTTTGGTACAGTTTGGACTTGAGAACTGGCATTCTTTTGTCGCACAGAACTCCTGTTAGGGCTTTACATTTCATCCATGCATCCTGCCTGCGCTCTCCTCTTGTAAGCCTCCTTCCGCTGAGATGTGACTGCCCAGATACTTGTATGACGTTACCTTCTTTAGCTCTTCATCATGCTTATGGTACCAGAAGTTTGTTTCCCCACTTCCATATATTCTGTCTTCCTGGTGTTGAGCTTCAGACCATGCAACTCTAGCTTGTTTTTCCAATTTTGCTCGTCTTGTAGCTCCTTCCTAGTACTTGCTATAGAGACCACATTATCTGCGTATAGAAATGTCCAGGGAGGTTCACGTCCAAGCGGTTTCATCACGGCGTTCATCACAGTGATGAAGAACAAGGGAGAGAGAACTGAACCTTGGTGTACCCCGACGATTTGGAATTCCTTCGATTTGCCTGCAGCTGTTTGCACACGGCTTGAAGCGTTGTTGTAGACCAGCTTTATCTAACTGAACGTACTGCTCTGGCACCCTGTTTTCGTGGACCACCACGGACAGGGTGCCTTGTCGATGACTTCATGGGGCACCTTATCGAAGGCTTTTTCCAGGTCCAGAAAGGCTGTTCTGCTTCTCTCTATATCTAATAAACAAAGAAACGTAAGCGCAATTCAAAAACCTGCATACAGCGGGAAACCGCGTGGCGGCCCCGAAGCGCGCATGCTGTTAGCACCTTCAATTACTGGTTCACTAGTCTCTCCATCAAAAGGACGTTTATCTGAATTTTTCACGAAAATCATAGCTTTTCATGGAAAAGCTCAACCAGCACAAGCTTGACACTGTTAGAAAGAGCAGCTCACAATTATAAGAAACATGCTTAAAGTTACTGTAGGATTACGGTATGAAATTTCAGCATATATTGCCAGTGTGGAATAGGAAAATGATGAAAAAACTCCAAAAAAATCTGTAAATTTGTGTAATAAAATTTGCAGGCGTGCTGATTTCATTGCACAACTTCTAACCAGTTATTCGAGCTTTTTAGTGGTGTAATTACATTTCTGACGAACATTGGAAAAACAGTTTTTACCCTAAATCCGAAATAACTTACGAAAGACTTCTACGTCAAAGTGCAAACTTCTTTGAAAACAGCGACTTATTAGCCCAGTACAAGAGTTTCTGGCTTGTTTGGTTTTCTTCCGAGGCAGATCATCGCTTTCAATGACCTGAAAGCCTTTTCGAAGTTCCTACCGTAATGCTACAGTAACAAAGAAAGATCGAAGATCGTTCTATGCTGTATATCTAAGCTGAACCTCGCTCTACAGAATGGCACTTCACGCTCGGCGAAAGACGTTTAAGCAAGAGAGTTACTGACGATCAAACAGTGTGCACATTTTTTGGGACACCCTGTATATATACGGTGAATTGATGAGAAGCATGACATGAGCCCATGCTGTTCCAGGAGCCCTCGCACTATCCATTTGATCAAAACGAGGAAAGCTGGAGTTGAGAAATGCACTGGGACAGCAAAACGTTAGAAAAAACAGCTGGAATAAGGAGTAGGGGAGGGAGAGAGGAAAGATACACTTTCCTTCTAGGTCCGCATGTATTAAAGGCACAGTCCACCCAGATTTTCGACTTCCACGTTTTTGTCGTTTCAGGGCCTTCTCATGTCCCTGATTCCGAATATGAAGTCGAGAATGCGCGAAAACCCCGGCAAACCCCGTTTCGAAAACCCACAGGCCGGCTTTTCGGAACGGTGATTGGATGGGCGCGCATAAATGGGCGGGCATGGATGGGGGAGGGCGGGCATGGATGGAGGAGGGCGGCGGGCATGGATGGGGGTCCTCGTGCATCTTCCCTATTCCGAAGCGATTTTCTCGCTTCCAAAGCGGCATTTTGCGCAGCGACTTGGGCATTGGCTTGATATTCAGCCCTACTTTTATATGCTGCCAAAAGCTCAACACTCTCAATTCAGGGTGGACGATGCCTTTAACATCCCGCAGAGAAGGGGATCGCAGCTCAAAAAAAGCTTCACATTCTGAAGCTCCACATATCTGGATTACACGATTTACTATATATTATATTATCTTATTAATCTATTCCTGCTATCCTTCACTATAAACATATTGGACGGTAGCGGGAAGCTGCACAAGCCGCATTTTGAAGCCTTTTGTATGTTCCACTGTTGATCCTCAGCGGCCGACCGTCTTTTTTTTGAAGTCATTTTTCTTCCTTCAACGTTAAAACATGCCAAAGATTTACGGATTGTGCTTAGCACTATTCGATTTACCAATCGACTAGTGTTAAGAATTTTTCTGATGGAAACAAATGATATATTGAAGTCATGAACTTTGCAACGAACCACAAGTAGGAAGCTGGGGTTTATCGAGAATGTCGATCAATGATTCATCCTTTCTTATTAGCGGAATGCTTACTGTTGGTAGATAATCAGTACAGCTCTGGCACGTTTTCATTAACACTGAAGAAAGAAAAATGAGTTTGAAGAGAAGACGGTCGGCTGCCGGGGACCATCGGGAGAGTATAAAAAGCTGGAAAATGCGGCTTATACAGCTCCTGGCTACCGCCCAATATGGTTTATAGTAAAGTATTGTAGGAATACTTACGAATAGGTAGAGCGAGTGAAACTCAGATACCTGGAACTTTAGAGTATGAGGCTTTCTTTTGAGTTACGATCCCCTCCCCGATGGGTATGTTAATGCATGCGCCCTTAGCTACCTCCGCAATCCACGCTCAGGTCTAGGATTGGATCAACTAAAGACCGGGCAAGACCGTGGAGCCAGCTAGTATTATCTATACACATCTACATATAATTTTGGCAAGCTATAAGGTTTCGCCAAAACGACAAAGGCGAACAAAAACGGAAATGGTTTACGTTAAAGAGGTGCGAATGCGGCGCGTGGCAGCTTGTTGTTGTGTCTCGGCAATTTATGCATCCTACGATAGCAAAACGGCATTCGCCCCCTGCAGTCCGCTTCCGGCAACTCTTTTCTCTTCTTCTAGGATACCTCAGTAGCTGCAGTTAGATCTAGAAACAATTCATCCATCCGCTCCTCTATTTTGAAGCTTCAAGAACCCCCTGATACGGCCTCTTCGTCATCTTGCTCGGGTTCTCACGAACAAGTCTGCGGCAAAAGCAGCTGCCCCATGTAAGCTGAAGGAAGTGCAAGATGGTGCCGGAAATGTACGACTCCAATTTAAAATTGATATCGATGCCGCAGCTGCCTCCTGTGTTGAGCTGGATTAGTGCGGTTGAGCAGAATTGGTGCGCGTTTTCCAAATTTCGACTTGGGACACTATAATCGTTTATAAAAGGACCAGTCTGAACGCAGCTGGAACATAACTCAATATTGTGCCATCGTAGCAACACCGGAAAAAATGTCTAAGAATCAAGATCACAGAAGGTCATTCCGGCCTGTTCTGAGAAATGGCTTACTGTTAGATATGTGATAGCAGGTTTCGTTCATTAGTTAGCCAACGGTCTAGTTCAGCACCGCTGACTCGGACACTACGCGATTTTTTTTGCTAGAACATATTGCAAAAATTTCAGAAGTTCACTTTTTCGCTTTCCTCGGCGGAGCCGAAAAAATGCGTTTTTTGAGTTTTCCCGGTTTGGCGCTGGAACAAACAACTTCTAATTTTTTTTGCTAAGGTCATAAGTCTTTCTGCATATAGCGAGAGTTCTGCAATCGCTTTACACTCAAGATTTTCATGTGTGAAAGAAAAGACCACAACGACCGTTCAAGTATGCGTAGTTTGCGTTAGAATTTTGTAGTTCAAAAATTTTCAGAAGTCCTGCGATGTGCAACTGCGGACTTTTTACCAAACAATATGCAGGTTTTCAAAAGATTCTGCCACACCCTGGTTGTTTCAGAGCAATAGAAATGAGAGAAAAAAATTTGGATTCTGGTCTCTTGTTTTTAGAAACAAGGATTTCGTAAGAAAGCACCTCTAAAAGAAAGCGTATACAAGAAAGTAAAAGAGGACCTCCACATAATACGAAGTCTCTCCATGAAAAATGATTTCCTCCTTAGAACCAACACTTCAAAAAAGTTCAAAGAACTATGGTTACAAGTACCTGATTCTCATGTTGTAAACTCAATTGTCTTACAAGGGAAGCTTGTTTAGTCGAAGTGGCCTTTCTAAATGAGATGTATACCATATTGAAGGGCATAAAACGCTGACTCCAAATCTGTCTTCCTTATCTGCAGAGCGCTTATGCACGAGAAGTTATGAGCGTTTTTTGAAGCCAAAAATTAAACGTGCATTTTGGATAAAATGAGTTGCTAAAATTTTACTAGCCCTCAAATAATGCAATCAAGTGTGATATATTTTTTACTTGAGAGTATTTCTCAAATAAAGTGCTTTGATGACTATTATCGCTCCATTAAAGAGGTAGAAAAAGTATCACGGCTATTTTTGCCCACTTGCACATTTAATTTTTTGCCAATAAGCGCTCATAACTCCTCGTCCATAAACGCTCTGCAGATAAGGAAGGCAGATTTAAAATCAGCAATCTATGCTCATTAATATGGTATACATCTTAACTGAAAAGGCCACTTCGACTAAACATGCATTCCTTGTTAGTTCAACATTTTCCGGTGTAGCTTTATGTCACAGAACCCCGTACATATTGGATGCTCTAGAGGAACGGCTGGCCAATAAGAAACCCCCTTGAAGAAAAGCAATCTAGAAAGGCAACAGTCGTCGAAGGAAGTGAATGTAAAGTCCAAAATCACTACAGAAATAAGCGATCAATACAAATGCTCGGACCTTGCAATCTAGCTCTTTAACGCACTGTTCCACGCACTGCTCCATGGTTTCCACAAGGGTGACATTACGAGCAAAGCCAATCAGTACAGAATCGTCAGCTCGGATGAACTGCCCATCAGCGCATTCCATAGGAACAGCATCTGTAAAAACTGCCTTTGAATTTCGTAGGCACCGCAACGAAAACCCTCATTATCAAAATTTGAGTTTACTGTCGAATGCGCAAAACACCCACCTCCAAGGCAAACCTTTTCAAAGTAGCGTTTGCCTACTGCTTGAACGGCATCGGCTTTGCCCTCAGGTTTAGCTTTTTCCTTGAAGATTGTGCATGTGAAAGATACATGATCATAGACGAATGACGCACATAGAATAGATCGCCCGTAGCGGTCCTAGAAAACAATTTAGATAACGACTGTTTGGAAGTCAAGGATTGAGTTTGTAAGTAGGCCCCACCCTGTTTGTTGAACAAGTTCTCAAACAATCTTCTTCGGGTGTGTCCTTGTATACAATTGAATCCACTGTCCCGAGTATAGTATTGTCAACAACGAAGAATCCGGTAGCTTTGTTTTCACAGATAGCTGAAAAAATGTTTTTTTACCGCTTTTATCAAAAGGAGTAGGTCATAGCTTCGTGTGCACTTGACTATTTTTGCTTAGTTGCTCGACTGAGGAGAAATGGACCCGGTTAGCATTGTCCCGTCCCGATTTGTTGCGATCAACGAGAAGGTGATGGGCGTAATTGCATTTGAACTTGATGTTAATGTGGGTCAGGAATCGGTGAAATTGAGATACGTGCGGGAATGCGATTTCGATTTCAATCACCTTTCAAGGCTAACTGTAGTGACATCGCTTAGAGTGACTCGCTAGCGGTGAAATTTGGTAGGACGAAAATTGTCGTCACCGATTGAGAGGTTGGTCATGGCTGCTTTCTCAATGACCGCAGAACAGTAAATGAGAGTTCGCGAAGATGGTTTGAGCAGATAAATTTTTTGTACAGCGCGATAAGACTAAGCGTTGAGAGATTGCTCGGTAATGTCTTCAGATAGACAGTTGCAATTATGACTTATCTTATTGAGCAGCGACACTTTGAATGGACAGAGAAAGGGATCAGTAATTTGAAGCAACTCTGAGTTATTACCCCCATTTTCGATGATCAGAGGCTTGTCTCCTGCGAACGAGTAGCGAGTCAGGGCTAGTACCAAGAGAAACGAGGCAGTGGCGTGCTGCATTGCTGAATTGACGACGGTCCGTGTGGTAGTGGTCAGTCAGCTAAGGCGGAGAGGGCGTTTTCTGATGGCCGCCTGTAGACGAGGCGTTGTCCGGCCCGAAATCGGGTCATCCAGGCGATCCGATCCCCGGATAAGTGCACACACACAACACACATTCCCGCGCATCGTTCGCGACATCCCATCGCCTTAGGATGCTTCACCTCCGGCTCCAGGGAAAGCTCATCTGTTCTTGATGGACAGTTCACGGCTTGCCTATGTAACTGGAAGTATTGACACACGATAAAGTGAAACCTTCACTTCTAGCTGCGCCGCACATCTGATTAGTGAAATTGGGAAACGTCGCAAATAACTGTGATAGTTGAGCATAAGTAAGCGCCTCAATACTGTTTCACATCGAAGAAACTTGAGCTCTTCTGTAAAGATCCATGGAAGCATTCGCTTCTCAGCAGGCTTGTGATTCGCAGTTTCCTGAACATTGAGTTACAGGTTGAAGCAGATTAACGTGTCAATAAGATCTCCGGAACAATAGTTACAAATGCCCGCTAATGCAATGGAACAATAGTTTTGATCCGTCTTTGCACATTGAATACCGACAGCGATGCGATCATGGAAAGCCCGATAAAGCCTAGGCTCGCAGAAATGCTGTACTATGTCTCTATTGCCTGAAATCCCGGATGCTAATTAAACAATGGTCGTTCAGACAGAATTACAAAAAGCGAATATATTAAATTCCAAAACTGATACAAATTTCTTTTCCGTAAAGGGTCGGATGCGCACCGGAGGAGCTTATCTTCCAAGCATTTTCTATTCTTTTTGTTGCCTCTTGATCGACATTGTTTTTTGTCAATCCCTTTCTATTTTTTTCGAGCGAGATGAAACTGAGAACAGAAAAAGATCACTATAGAAGGTCCGGGTCAGGAGTCACACCGCGCGGCGACCTCTCGCCGCGCTCAAATTTCGTGCCTCACAAAAACTCACCGATGCTAAAGTGGCACGGCGCCACAGTAGGGGGTGGAGGTGGCGGCAGATACATGACTCGATACCATAATTAACATTGCGGCAGGGGTACTGATGGGAGCTGAGGTTTGTACTGCGGGCGTCCCCCCCCCCCCGAGAACTGGTCGCGAAATTTTTGAAATTTACTAGCATGGGTTATGAAAATGTGCAAGTGACTTGTTGGAGTGCGTGGCTCACGCCACGCCCCTTCATGTGAAAAAAAATTTTTGCCGCCTCCCCCGCTCCAAATCGTGGGACCGCCACCTGTTAGGTTGAACCGAAAGTTTGTTCGCACCATTTTTAGAAACTCATAAATTCTAGTCTTTTCAACCGATTTGCGAGCTTTCCCAATTTGCGAGCTTTCATTTTTACCTGCAAAAGCAAGTCATTCTCCTTATAGCGGTATCTTAGTGACATTCTAATGAGCATACACTGCATAGATATAAGCGGTAGAAGAAAATTACTTAAATTTTGCATTTTCTGTGTAGGGTCATAAAAAATCTGAAAACTGTAGTAAAAATCGGGGCCGTTAGTATCATAGGTTTTGTCACCTGCTCTTTCTAACTGTGCAAAGTTTGCGCTGATTGAGCGTCTCTATAAAAAGTTATGATTTTCCTGAAAAATGCCAAAATAAATCAAATTCGCCCTTTTGTATTACTTGCTCAAAAATCATAACTTTTGGTAGAGACGCTCAATCAGCGCAAACTTTGCACAGTTAGAAAGGGCAGGTGACAAAACCTATAATACTGACGTCTACACTTTGGACCGAATCGAATAAATATTCGAATATTTGAATAAAGTACTCGAATAAATTTTATTCGAAATTCGATTATTCGAGAATTTCAAAATCTTCAATATATTCGATATTCGCTTATTCGAAGCATGTCAATTTTGAATTTATTCGATTATTCGGTTATTCGAAAAACTTGATTTTCGAAAATATTCGAACATTCGAATATTTATTTTCAGTATTCGATTATTCGACAATTTCGTATAATCGAATAACTACATGATAGCGTCACAATTTTGATTGCTATACCAGCAACCATCTCTTGTTGTCTAAGTTGCCCACTGCATGGAGTCCTACACTGTGCTAATTCGATCAAAATTTGTTTGAATATTCGACATAATCGATGCAAAATATTCATCTATTCGGATTTTTTCTCTCAAATATATTCGGCTATTCAGATTTTTTCCATTTCGAATATATTCGATACTAGCTTGCTTACCCGGCTCCGCTCGGCCCTGTCAAAACACTGTAATAAAGGTCCCATCACTATCCTTGTACAGCCTTTCCCTGTGCCCACTTTTACACTTCATTCCCCGTTCCCTGGGTTTTTTCCGAAACCAGCATGCCCAACCCCCCTCTGCCAACTCCCAGCCCTGTAGCTCAAACTTTGCAAAAAATCGATAAAATCGATAAAAGTAACGATAATTCTGAAAAGTAATATTGTATTCGGAATCGCCATGCCCACTTACCCCCCTGTGCCAACTCCCGCCGTGTAGCTCAAACTTTGCAAAAAATCGATGAAATCGATAAAAGTAATCGATAATGCTGAAAAGTAATATTGCATTCGTAATCAGCATGCTCGATTACCCCCCCCCCCCCCTTAGGTGAACTAGGCAAAGAAATGTATAAAAATCGATAAAATCGATATCGATCGATGACGAAAAGTAGCCTATGACACGCTCCCTGCCCCGAAGTGTGTGTATGCCAGGTTTGGTCCAAATCAGTTCAGAAATAAAAATTTCTATTCCGCACATATGTACAGACACGCATACAGACAAACACACATTCAGCTTTATACATAAGATTCTATTCAACGATTTTCTTATTTCGAAAATATTTGATATTCGATTATTCCACATTTTTGTTTTTCGAAAATATTTGATAGCCGAATATTCGACATTTTTTGTTTTTGAAAATATTCGAATATTCGACATTTTTTGTTTTTGAAAATATTCGAGCCGAATATTCGACATTTTTTGTTTTTGAAAATATTCGAAGTTCGATTATTCGATATTTTTTATTTTCGAATATATTCAGTTATTCGATTATTCGAAAAAATTCTCGAATATTCTAAAGTATACTGACGGCCCCGACTACAGGTTTCAAATTTTTTATGACCCTACACAGAAAATTCAAAATTCAAGTAATTTTGTTTTACCGCTTGTCAATGGCGTACCCAGGATTTCCGCTCGGGGAGGGGGGGGGGGGGGGCGCGACAAAAAAATTTTCGAATGGAGGTGCGTGGCGTTAGCCACGCACTCCGGAAAATTTTTAGGGATGCTTCTCAAAATTTTTTTTGTCCCCAACCCCTCAAATTTGGAAAAAGGGGCGTGGCGTCAGCCACGCCCCGAAGAAAACTTTTTCACAAGGCTAATTTGAATTTTTAAAAATTTATAAAAATTATTTCAATTATATACAAGTATAAACAAGTCACTTGCACATTCTTATTACCCTTATAAGTAACTTTCAAAAGTTTCGCGACCCATCGGGGGGGGGCCCCCCCCCCCCGCCTCCACTCCCCCCCGGTACGCCACTGCCGCTTATATCTATTCTGGCATTTTGCAGGAAAATCATAACTTTTTATAGAGACGCTCAATCAGCGCAAACTTTGCACAGTTAGAAAGAGCAGGTGACAAAACTTATGATACTAACGGCCCCGATTTTTACTACAGTTTTCAGATTTTTTATGACCCTACACAGAAAATGCAAAATTTGAGTAATTTTCTTCTACTGCTTATATCTATGCAGTGTATGCACATTAGAATGTCACTAAGATATCGCTATGAAGAAAATGACTTGCCCTTGCAGATAAAAATGAAAACTCGCAAATCGGTTGAAAAAAGCAGAAGCTGTGAATTTTTGAAAATGGTGCGAACGAACTTTCGAACCAACCTAATATTAGGTTGTCCCGTAAGTCTTTTCATTTTTGAGTTTTTTCGCTATAATAAGTCACTTACTTTTTATTCTAAATAGACATCAGAATACCATTTGATAGAGCAAAGCAAGCTCTATAAGAAGGCGTTTATGCTTTTGCAAAAGCTTTGGTCCATAAACCAAAATGTAAAAAGTTTCGGATGGCCAGAAAACCGAAAATTTTTATATCTTCGTTTAAAAAATCCTACAAATCTCTAACTCGCTCACGCATATACATTCCACATCAGACATTCATATGTGCTGTTGCTGTATTTTTTTATTAGCTAGAAATCAAGAAACCGAAAATTTCCATGTTTTTACCAAAGTGATGCTGTGCTGTTATTACACTAAGAGTTGTATACTGGAAGCCCTTAGAAGTACTACCGTAGATTTTTGGCTCTCTATATGCTCTGGTTACGAGAAATATTGAATTTAGCTTCCTTCACTCGGGTTTTTCACGCTTAAATCAACATTTCTCAGAAACCAGAGCCTATAGAGAGCAAAAATCTACGGTAGTACTTCTCGCGCTGATCGAGCTGTTAATTTAAAAGTTATGATTTTTTGAAAAAAAATGTCAAAAAATCATTTTTCTTAAACAACCGACTCTCTGGCATTTTTTTTTTGAGAATCATAACTTTTCTAGGAAGATCATCAGCGCGAATTTTGCTCATATAGAAAAAGGGGATCAGAAAAACTAGGTTACTGGCTGTTTTGGATTTTATGGCACAGTTTTGAATTTTTTAACGGGGTTGCTTCAGAATTCCGAACTTGAAGTGATTTCGTTTTCCCAATTTTATCTCTGCTTTCAGAGCTTAGTAGATAGCAACAGAGATGTTTTTAGAAAGTGCATGAATTGCTGTTTCCAATATGGTTTTACTCTTGCAAAAACATTGTTTTATGAAGAAGTTACGATTTTTCGAAAATGGTGCGAACGAACTTTCGGGACAACCTAATATTAGGTGGGTCCAAAAGTTCGTTCGCCGGATTTTCAAAAAATCATAACTTCCTTCCTTCGCGGTGGAATTCCTTGATTTAATTTGTGTTCGAAAGAGAAGGCCCTTCTCTTTACAAAAGTCACTACATGAAATGGCGTGAGAAAGTTCGAGAGTTAGAAGCAAACGAAATCACTTCAAGTTCGGAATTCTGAAGCAACCCCGTTAAAAAATTCAAAACTGTGCCATAAAATCCAAAACAGCCAGTAACCTAGGTTTTCTGATCCCCTTTTTCTATATGAGCAAAATTCGCGCTGATGATCTTCCTAGAAAAGTTATGATTCTCAAAAAAATGTCATAGAGTCGGTTGTTTAAGAAAAATGATTTTTTGACATTTTTTTTCAAAAAATCATAACTTTTGAATTAACAGCTCGATCAGCGCGAATTTTGCTCATATAGAAAAAGGGGATCAAAAACCTAGGTTACTGGTGTTTTGGAATTTATGGCACAGTTCTGGATTTTTTAACGGGCTTGCTTCAAAATTCGGAACTTGAAGTGATTTCCTTTTCCCAGTTTTACCTCTGCATTCAGAGCTTAGTATTAGGGTGATCCAAATGAAGCACCTAGAGAATAAATGCAGTTCTCTCAAATAGAAAAGCTAATTGGAAGTCCAACTTTTGGCAGATGTTAGTACATAACAAAACCTTCTGATCGTGGTCTATAGTTGGGCATTGTCACGTGGCGTTATCTTTACAAGCGCTTAAATTAAAGCTCATCACTTCAAGTTTTGACTTTGAGCAGCAGCGCCGCAGTAGAAGTGAGCCTACCAAAGATATCTGCGCAGCAATGGGTGAGGGGACTGTCACCAAATCCACGATAGCTCGGTGGTCCCAAAGCTTTAGAACAGAAGATATTGGTTATCAGGAGGCATATTACTCATTCTTTCATCAAGGTAATCAAATAAGCTCAGCCTCCACAGTTGCTTTCTGATAGTGCTTTTTACGCTCTATCCATACATAAGTAGTCCTAGTCTGTTAAGAGTTTATAGGGCTTCAAATGACCGCACTTAAAACCAGATTTTTGTTGCATTCACTTTTCTAGCCAAAATTCGAGCGCATATTAAGGCGTGTTTTCAAAAATTTAGCCACAGTATGTAATAAAAATTGTCTACATTATGCATATTCAACCATATTTCTTGAAGTTATCTAAGCTAAGCTATCGGCGCCTCAACATGGGTACTGGTTGCGATCGTTCTATAGCCCCCATCTTTTGTAGAATGCAACCCTTAAAGTTTTGCTCATTTCTGTAAGCGTAAGGGAGCATTCTGTTGATAGCTTTAGCATAGGCATTTACCTGTTCATCACGCAGAAAATCGGAAATTCTATGATTCGGGATTTTCAGGCCTACCGGAAAAATTGCTAAAAAAGTTGATATTTTTGAATTTTGATTTTTTCCTTTCCGCCATTCTCCTTTCTCCAAGCTTTTCTATGTTTTTTATACTGCTGACTTGCGGCTACAAGATAGCTTCTTATAAATTATACTAACAAACTGTGAAGGGAGTT